TGGAAAAAGAAAAAAAAAATGCTTTTGGAAAAAAAAGAAAAACAGAACTGATACAGAATATGCATAACTTTTTCAGCAGGTAATCGTAGAAATTTTAAAGAAGAATCAAAGGGCAAAAAAAATGGCTTCTCTCTTTTACTTTGGCAATATGACCTCCACCAGATGACCTTTCCTTTGCAGAGCACAAGATATGCCAGTCACATATGATGCCGTAGATCCACTAGAGACTAATGGTGCCATTTCTGTGCAAATGTGAACGATGTGAAAAGCATTCCTGGAGAAATTGACCCCAAAAAAAAAAAAAAAAAGATTCTGTGAATCTTTATGAAAAGGAAAAATGGGAGGAAAAAAAGAAGTAAAGAAAAGAATACCTCTGGGCAAATCAAATTTTTGTAGTACTGATTTTAGTTTATTAAGACAGAACAAAGATAATCACACAATACTTTGGAAGAATCTCCACCAAATCGTGGCCGAAAAATTCCCAAACGTGTGGAGACAGGAATTCAGTATCATATTGAACTCAAGGTTTTATACAGTATCCACATTCATTTGTATTATTTTTAGATTCAGATAATCATGGTTGATGTTTCTCAGTGATTTGCATATAAGGTATGCCACTAATATGAAATGGGTGGTGATTTTGCAATACAACAACAACAACAACAACAAGCCTTATCCCGGTGGCAATTTTGCAATAAACTTCAAAAAGCTTGTCATATCAAAATATACTTCATAATACTCTCTGATCCTAAATGTAGGAGTTAGTTGAAGAGTTTGTTTTAGTTCTAAATATAAGACCTCAATATCTTTTGTGTCTCTCATATATTATTTTATTCCCAAGCTACCCTTGTTGATCGTACAAATTAATGTATGCAATCAAAAAGGGGTAATTTTTGTATGTAAATTATTATTGAAAAGGAAGGGTATTTTAAGAAAACCAACACACATTTTTCATAAATAACTAACTTTACTAGTTTTTTTAATTTGTGTGAATTAGATATTCAGTTTCTACATTTAGGATTGGAGGGAAAACAATTATCATTTATGAGGATAAAATGAAAGAATGAAACTGAATGAAGCTCGTAAACATTTGATTTACTTTTTGCTGCTGTCTGAGAATTGACGAATTTCTTCTAAAAGATCGGAGTCCCTTCTTCCTGGGATGTCAGTGAAAATATCAGCCAGGCTCAACTTGTGCTTTATCACCAACCTTCTTAATTCAGATGCCTCCCCAGGAGAAATCATGTTGGTTAAAACCATTGAATCAATCCGAAGCAGCAACTTCCAACAAATTGACAGGTTGTCTGGGATACAAGCAGAAACGTATAATGCAACTAATCAACCAGTGAAAAAGTAAAGACTAATAAACTAGGAAAAATAAATGGGAAAATTAATCTTTTGGTCCTTATAGTTTTCACTCATTTGTAACTCAATCCCTATGCTTTGACTCAGTGCAGCTCAGTCTTTTTAGTTTTGACTCGGTTGTAACCCAGTCCTTAAAGTTTGACTCACTACAACTCGGTCCCTATAGTTTTGTCTATTTTATAATTTAGTCCTTGTGTTTTTTAAAAATAAAATTATATATCTAATAAAAGGAGGAACTAAATTATAAGATGGTTAAAATTATAGGGACCGAGTTGTAGAGAGTCAAACTTCAAAGACTGAGTTACAACCGAGTCAAAACTAAAAAGACTAAGTTGCACCAAGTCAAAATATAGGGACTGAGTTACAAATGAGTAAAAACTATAGAGACCAAAAGATTAATTTTCCCAAAAATAAATTATTGATCTAATCAGATTGTCAGTAAATATGAAGAATACAACAGCCTTTGTAATAGAGACGTACTTTATTTAGGCCAGCTACTTGAGTATATGCTATGGGGTTTAAACTGAAAACACTAGCATACTTGAGTATGTAACTAATTCATTATTGTCTAATGGAACCAACTAATTGTAAAATTTAAAAATAGCATGTGTGTCAGCAAAAAAGAAAATGTAAAAGATAAACAAGATGTATTGATCTATTCATCAACGATACGTAATAAGGTGAAAAAGCACGGCCATAATATCACCTTTTCCGGCACCGGCATGCTTTTCCGCTTCCAATTTCTCTACCCTGTCGAGCAATGACCGCTTTTCTGCGTTAGCTTTGTTAAGTTCCTCTGTGGCTACAAGGCGTTGTTTGTTTAAGTACAGAATATCTGTTTATTTAAGAAAACAAATCAAAGTTACAAAATACTTCAGTATAACGCACAAATATCACTAAGGTAGACTACTCAGACAGCCCAAAAAACCAAGAATGACAGAAAGCTGAAACCAACTGAAGGAAGGTAAAGACACAGAATGGGAATTATCTATGGAAAATCAAGTTCAGGCCGGGAAAGAACTGACTTTGCTGAGCTTCTCTGAACAACTTCCAAATCTCATGGTCTTTCGCATCTTGATCATCTCCAGTTAACTAAAATATTGGGGGAAAATAGGTAATGAGATCCTTGCTAAGTAAGGAAACACAAGAAATGCGTGTAAACTACACATATCATACGCAAAACCACCATATACCTGCATTTTATCCACGTTATTAGTACCTTTACCCCTGAGATGCGTGTCAATTAAAATTTAGTAGAGGACTAGAGTATAAAACAAAGGGTTATATTATTGAATACATGTCAAAGAAAACAAAACTCTTACCGTTGTTCATCTTGGCGACTGTCGTCTCCATCGTTTCTGAAAAATATTACATATAAATAACAGGCCAAGTGAATTTCAAGGTGAATTCGCCCACTATCAACCCGTTATTTCTATTTAATACGCCTTCAATCAATTACAAGGTAAATTTCACTCACTATCACTAATCAAAAATGACGACTTATGAACCATACATATTAAGTTTCAAAGTTGCATCATGACAAGTCACATGCTGCGACCAAGTAACACTATTTTAGATTCCAACCATTGCTCTATCATGTACCAGTATGTGGCATTATAACCACACTCCACTCAACTTTACCCAGAAAAACACAATCCACTCCGATGCTTCTTAACTTCCAAATTTACGTTGTTTTGGAGCGAAACAAACAAGCTAAAATGAGATGGTTGTGAGCTTGACGGATGATTACTCAGCTTTCTAGCAGCATTCGTGCAGTATAAGCTCAATTCAAGAGTCTCACCTCAAACAACATAGTGGCAGGCTAGTAATGGGTTTCCGGGACAAGGTGGTGGTCCTTCTGGACGTTGGAATGCGACGAAGGGAAGGAACCCCGATCCCTGCACCTACTAATGTCCCCATTTTCCGTTTTCATACGCAGAGATAGGGAGGAAAAGAACGAGTAAGCTGCACTTGCACAACTATCCCACTCGAGATCACCAGTCCCATGACGATATAACAATGGCATCCATATCCACGATACCAGTATTAACTATTGATGGTAATTGCTTTCCCAGAAAGAAAATTGCCTTTATCACGGAAAAGGGACTGCCTATGCAGCAGCAGGAGGGTGGCAGAAATGGGACAAAATTCTCGAAGAAATTTTCACAATCTCGGTAAACATGAAGATGGTCATTACAGTAATTTCGCTCCATGACAAGAACTTACCGTGGTGTTTTTTTCCCCACTCCCCCCCCCCCTCTCAAATTCATGATTAAATGTTCATGTCATCATCAAAATGAGCAGCGGAATTTTGTGGAAGCGTTATTGCGTCAAAATCTCACTCAGAGACTCGTTGAATCGATCATGGGATTCAGCGCCAAAGAACAAAATAAAATCGATAAAATATTTTGAAATAATAATTAAAAAAAAAGTCAACAACTTTATACTGCAGTGACGTGTGAATTCGATCAGCTTGTAAATTCATGCCATTGGTTTCTACTCTTCCAACCCTAATGGGAAAATAAAAATAAACGATTTATATTTCAAGAAAATGAATTGTTCGCAAAAAATCCCACCAAAAAATTTAAAATTACTAAATTTTAGATAAAAAATTCTTACAAAAATGTGTGATTATTTACAAATTCAGTGTTGTCAAAATTTATTAAAATGTTATTACCAAACTTAATTTGAAATTTAGTAGTTTCAAGCTTTTCTCATCATTTGCTTAAAAAAAAAAATTTTAGAGCTTCCCATTGAAGGTAATCCTATTCAAGATATTGTCGAGTACTAAATATAAACACTTCTCCTAATGGAGATTCGAATCTTAATTCGTCACCTTGTGAGGAACTGACTCCTTTAACGTATTCAAACCATGTTCGACATAGATGATTTGCACTAGTCGTGAATCGAAGCTTGTACTCTGTTTTTGGTGACAAAGCTTGTATTCTTTTGAAGCCCAAAGAGTCTTGTTAAAACACAAAAATATCTTCTAACACTTTAAAATATACTATCTCTTATGATTAATATAAAAACTAGTTGATTAATTTGAGTAGATTACAAAACTAGTTAAGTTAGTTATTTATTTATAATAAATAAGTGTTGGTTTTTTTTTTAAAATATCTTTGTTAATCAAATGTATTAGCTAGAACTATATCATTATTACAAGGACCATTTTAAAAAAATTAATAAATATAACAGACAAAGTGAATTAAGATATTATATTTAAGACAAAAATAAAGGCAAAACAAAGTTTTATATTAAAGAGCAAAGGTAATATATTTTTTAAGTGCATGCTCTAAATTATTTTATAATTTATCTCAAGGTTTAAAATATCCTTTCAAATATGTTTAATATTATAAAATATTTTAGAATTCATAATATTCTAAAACGCTTTTTTAAATATATCTAATTTGACGTGTAGACGCATTCAGGGAAAAAATTTTTTTAAAATTATGCCCCAACCACTAAATACCTGAATCAGCTAGCCTTGACCCGCAAACAAAAAATCTCTTTATCTTTACAGGTTATTTTACTTGATTCTAAAAATTCATTTCAGATTAGAATCAATTCAATGTGAAACAGGAAAAATTACCATGAAATGCAAAGGAAAAAGAATAACCAATAAAAAGTTTTAATAACAACTATAAAGTTATCTTTTTTATTTTCAAACTTGTCATAAGTTTCTTTATTATCATTGCGATTTCCTTGAAACTTCGTAACAAATCGCCCAATAAGAAAAGCAAGTCGTACAGATCTTCGCGAAAGATTAGCTCTTGTGGGATTTTATGCCGTTCTTTCTTTGGGGCCTGAATGCCCTTCTTGATTATTAGAGGTGCGGACACTTGGACATCCTCCACCTTAACAAATGAACACGTCATCAGCAACTTTAAAATTTGCAGTTTTCCCACGTCATAAAATAGTGAAATACTCCTTCATTCCGCTACGTACTTTTGAGCGTAAGCATTTCTGTTAGTCCTTCGAGGATCTTCGGCAATTTTAACTACAAACTCGTCTAAAGTCCGTCCACCTACTGAAATTCCCAAATTGTATCGCCTAAAATCAAAAAGGGATTCCCAGCTTTTTCTTTCCTTTTTTCCTTTTTTACGAAGAATTGGGCGATTCAAATGATTCTTATTAGTTGTGAAAGTAATCATCTTTAACCATCCATCAATGTGCCCAAGGCATGTCAAAAATATCACAACATGCATGCATTCCCCTGCTCCTACACAGGGACGTCTTTCCCACCTAAGATAAAAAAGAATCATCAGAACAAGTGCAAAGGACCTTTTTTTTTTGGGGGGGGGGGGTTAATATGGGGCAACAGATTTCTATTCAATTGAAGAATTGATTAAATACGATTCAAACTGGTAATTAAGAAGGAATGTCTCTAATTAGACATATTATGAATTTGGAAGCCAAGGGAAGATATAGTGTTAATGCTCAGCAAAGCTTACGCTTCTTTAACTTGGCCATTCGTCTTCTCCGCTCTCTTTCTTCCTCCTCCTCTATCAACCGGAGTTGCTCTTCATCCTCTCTCTTGGCAATTTTCGCACTGTTTATATCACCACAAGGAAATATAAATCAACGAACAGAGAAACCCATGATTGCCCTGAACTGCAGAAGATGAGAAGATATACAAGTGATCCATAAACTTGCAAGTTTCTTTACGTTATGGTCACATTTGGTACGCGCCAGAGAGCTTTTGGAGAGAAAAGTTTCATGAGTTTTTTTTTCTCCCATCCTCCTAATTCACTTCCTCATTCCTATTTTATACAAATCATGTGTTCTGGTAGGTCCGGAGTGAGGACAAATGGGGCAGTAAATGTGGAGCTAAAGCTAAAAGAAACATACCTCCTCCTTTCTTCCCTCATAATATCATCAAAACCTGCCTCCATGTTGATATCATCCTCATCGTCATCAGCAAATTTGTTGGGGTTGTAGCTGCAAAATATTCAGCAAATTGATTACAAAAAATCACCAGATTTGCAGCAAAATGAGCATTGCCATGCTAAAACTGAGAAACTCCAATCAGACATGTGAAACACCAGGAAACACCCTAGTAAAAAAACTTCGATCACAATGACTCTCTTTTTTTGGGGGGGGGGGGGGATCAAGGATCAGTGAAGGTAGACTGGAATTTTGAAGGATTCAGCCAAAGTCATTATCAGACTAAGGTGCTAAAAAATGAAGGGACAAAAAATTGGTCAAGATTTTTTTTTGGCCCCGGGGGGGGGGGGTGAATGTAAGAACATATTCTCCATCAGAATCAAGGGCTATCCACCTGCTCCCAAATATTTATCACACAATTCTCCCAATTCCAGAAGGCCAGCCCAGTCATACAATTTTAGCATAGTTTTGATAGTTGCCCACAAAATACTCTCCTTTTTGTCCATGATGAGCAATTAAAGAGGAGTTCATCAAGTAAGATCTGTGATAATTTGGCTCCTTCCAGATTTATTAAAAAACATTGCAAGGAAATAGAGGATCACATGCTAATTGAGAACTGGCAAGACTTACTGAAACATTCTTCTGATCATGCTAATAGCCCTTTGACCCTCATCATCATCATCATCTTCAAAGGGCCGTCTTACAGGCTTCTTCTTGGGACGTTGATCTTGGACTGCACGATGTGTTGGAACCTGTGTAGGTGGCCTCAATTTCTGTTGAAACAAGAAGGGCAAGAAAAACATTATCACCAATAAGAAGCTAAAATTACATGTACATGAATGTCTAGACGGCATCAAAAACCTGAGGAGCTGAAGATGCCACTGGCTGTTTGGGCATCATTTTAGGCTTTTCCCTTGTGTCTTTTCTTTGTTCCACACTCTGCTTTGAAATAGATGAATGAGCTTTCGAAATGAGTGGTTTCTGCACAGCATTTACAGGGCCTTTTATACCAGGCGTCAAAGACTTATTACTCATGATACCAACAGGCATCTTTGGAGGCAAGCCCTTTGGTGCCACCGGCCGGCCAGGTCCATTCACACTGTTGTTTCCAAGCTGTTTTCTTGAATCTGCTGATGCCATACTGGGCTTACTGGTAGAAGCTACCTTATTATTGGACCCTGCTTTAGGAGGTAATTGGCCACACACAGAACCCAGTTTTCTGTCCTCACGACCACCAGTAACATGCTTGCCACTACTGCTCAAAGGCTGTTTACTCTTTCCTTGTACTTGAGCTGGCCGTGCCTCTTCAAGATCAGCAAAAAACCTGTATAAGTTTTCTCAATCATAATAATATGTTTACACCCCCAACAAACATCCCATATAAACATGATCCCAGGCAGCGAAGTACCAGAACTTCGGGCAGACATATTCCTAGGGGGAGGCTCTTTAGCAGGGGCTGGAAGCTCTGCATCATCAGACAAAAGAAAGGAGTAATCCCTTGTATCCTTAATTTTCTGGGCTTTAAGCTTCACCTGGATAAACAGAGGAATTGACCACCATCATTTAGCAATCCCAGATGCTAGTTTACATTGAAGCAACTTCGAAAGATAGCTTCAATACCTGGCTGACTTTGGGTAGCTGATTATGAACTGCCGATTTTGATACCCCATTAGATACTTTGTTTTTGTTCTTGCTCTGCAGACAGGATCATAGTTAGAGTACTGATGCACCACATTATATGGAGCCAGAAATATATTAGAATGAATTTATCTTTTGCAAAAGTTGCCATTAATAAGCATCTGGTGACAGGCACGAGGCAACAAAAAGAACGACAAAAAGTAAGACAATGATGCCAAAATCTCAGCAGTATATGCAACGGCTTCGCATAAGTATACAGGTTATGACTTGCCATATTTAATGACCTTCGGCGTATTTTTGGGAGTACTTGGGGAGCCAAAATTGCATTTTAGCATGTGCGTGATTAATTTTGTCAAGAAAAGAAATCATTGACATTTATCGAAATGATTGTAGAAGTTTTAAAAATTTGCTCAAAGCATGATTTGATTCAGACATTTTTTTCACAAGTCTTGATGGTATTTGTATGAAATAGGGAAGCACCCAGAGCAGGAGAAAATGAGTTCAGAAGAGACAAAATAAATTGAATTGCATAGGCTCCAAGGCTGTGTCTTGTGAACCCACACAGCCTCTGCTCTCAATTTAGACCAGAGCAATGCTTTCTGATGCCATGGCCGTAGCATTGGCACTGCAGCTAAGCTGTAAATCCAAAGAAGGGAATTAGCATTGGCGCTGTGGCAGTAGCACTAGTTCCATGGCTGCTATTCTCCCTTCCCTTCCTCTTTCCCTAATCAATACCCACCATAGGGACATTGAGCCATTTACAATGAGAACAAGTTGGCCAATGTACCACAGGAGATCAATAAATGAATATGCCCAACAGAAATAAGTAAGCATAAAAGTGATTACAATAGATTGAAAGTTGAAGCAATCCAATACCATACAAGAAATTAATATAATGGCAAAGCTAGGCGTCTGAGTTCTTACAATATGAAGTGGGTTAGAAAGCCTAGATGCCAAATGCTGGTTTTCTAACAATGACTTGCTCTCTTGGATGACTCTTTGCGCGATAACAGGTTGAGAAGGACCAAAAAAAGACCCATAACTGCGAACAATTAAAAAAAATTGAGAAATACTCCAGTAAGTAATTCATCTAGTAACTACCAAATCCAAGCTGAACGTGAATAATATGAACGATAAGCATAGAAATGTGCGAAAATATTGCATTCAACTACACACAAAAAAAGGAAAAATAAACAAAAGTTGTAGCCAAACACAATAAATAACAGAATAACCAATATCCGGCCTACCATAAGGTAAAAGCCAAACAGCAAGGCATGCTTAAAGCTACTATGCACAGAAACATCACTTTATAAACATATAAATGAGGTAGGGAACATCTCTACAATTTATTTTCCAAAACCAAAAGATTTATGTCAGAGAAAAGAAAGTACAGATAAAATGAAAATTTATAAATCATGAATCTAAGATCAAATTGTAAGATTGCAGATCCTTATCATATGCATATATGACTTAAGATAGCGAATCAAGATCAAGCTCAGAAAAATTCTTTAAAATAAGCCATACTAAATCCAACTGACACCGGAAGAAACCCCCTACAAAAAATTTACCAAGGGCTAAATTTTAACTTTCACTTTACAAATGCGTTAGCCTCAAAAGTTACATCCCCAAAAGGAGCCTGATGGTACAACACCAGTATTGTGTCAAGTAGTTTCAGACTGTGAGCCACGAAACAGTTCCTTGCAGCCAAATAGGTTATACAAACACGACGTTTATCATAACTAAATTTATAAACTACTCCCAAACATAGCTAACAACCATTTGGTCATTCCAACGAACATAACACAAATGAAAAAGAGAATATATATCAAGATTCAATACAAAAGCATAACACAAAAATGCAATCGGTGTCATGAAGGAAGCATTGAAACAACCTGGTCAACATCCTTTGAAAACAAAATCAATGACAAGAAGTTAAGAAACAGCGAAAGCCCATTCTAGGTGTAACACTCACTTATCGTAAGGAAGCTTTTTCTCCCTTTCACTTGAACCGGCATGCGATGTACTGCTCTCCTTCTTCATCTGTTTTCTAATCGATTCTTTCAATTTCTGCCTCAATTCAAGATACTCCAGTTCTTCCTTTGTCGGTTTAGGAGGTTGTTCCTCTTCATATTCCCCCTCTCCCTCCTCTTCATAACCATATTCTTGCTCTAGTCCCTCATCCTCGTAATCATCATAATCTTCATAACCCTGCTAAAAAGGGAATAGGAGGAATAATGAGGCCTAAAACTAGTACCACACAAGATTAATAAATGTGACAAGGAAATGAACAAGGGAACAGGAATGAGGAATGAAGAAAAAACCTAACAAGCAATGGAATTATAAGGCTTACGTCTCTATCATATTCCTCCATTGCCGCTTGAAGAAGAAATAGACAGCCACCAATGACAAGTACCTAAAGTCTCAAGCCGCAAATCTAAGAAACTTGATACAAGGCCTGCTTGTTGATACCAAAACACAATGCAAATTAAGGTTAGGAACGAAGCTGAATTTCTCCTCACTATAACTGACAGTGTGTTGAGAGAGACGCAAGACCCAAAAAACAAGGAATAATTCCCATAACAAACTGGCTACAATCTTCTCGAGAAAACAAAACTAGCCATTAGGGTGAAAAATTCGCTAGCATTGAACAAAAATTTACAAACTTGTTTGTCTATTCCCTAAATTGCCATTCCCGCGAGGATCTAAATGATATTCAATACTTGTGCAGTAAGACCCAGGAGCAGAACCGCTCATATTCATGGTACGCAGTTGAATCGACTCAGATTTTGGGGCGAAATCTCCCGAGACCAAAAATATATGAACAATAGCAAGAAGCACGGGTGAAGTAATCAATTTAACAAATAGAATAATACAGGAAAATTGAAAGGAAAGAAAGAATGCAAGAAAGCTTACCGTGATCCCCTTCACAGCATGAAGTCGTCAATTAGGGCAGAGGAAAGATCGATGTTTGAGACCGAACGGCCTTTTATTTTCAATGTTCGAGAAATTTCCTTTAATCTGCTGCCACCGTTGTGCAATCCATGGACCTATCGGGGATCTGATCGTGCCCGTCCGACCCGAGCCATTATATTTTTTTTATTTTATTTTATTCAAATTATACATTTATATTATAGATAATTGATTGATTGTTTAATAAAATAATAATTATATAAACACTAAATTAGAATTATAAATGTTATATTTAACACTTTAAATTTTTATTTACCTTGAATTTATAATTTATAATAATAATATTTAGTACTTCCCTAATCTTTCAAAAATTTTGAATTCTAGCCAAAAGAAATTTTCCAAATTCCAAATACGCTTTTTGTATGTGTATCTATATGATTCAATAAATTTATATTTGTGTTTAATTAAAATTTTAAATTTAATTTATTAAATAATTACATATTTTCTACGTAGATCATTTTATTATTTTTTATTTGATTAATAATTTTTGCATTTCTATACTTATTTAGTTAAGAATATATTTAGACAAAGGGAAAAGTAAAAGGAAAATAGGATAAAAAATTTAAAAATAAAAAAATTTATTTTGGGAGAGTTTTCTTTCTAATATTATTTTTCTCTAAATTTTTTTCTCCTAAGTAAAAGCTAAATAAATAATACCAGAGTGCGCAGGATTAATTACTGTTATTGGTGGTGGATAATGGATTCAACCAAAAAAAAAAAATCCTCCGGTCTTTAATATAGGACCCAATTTTTGAGTTGATTTTGGTCCTAAATATAAGACTCATTCATCATATTTATCAATTTTCTCTAAATTACCCTTATAAATACTTCCTCAACTATAATCAAATAGAAGAGGGAGAGGAGATATTAAGAAAGATGATTATGGTGTTTTGGGAAAAATGTGTAACTTTTTTATAATTAACTAACTTACCTAACTTTCTTAATCTAATCAAATTAGTTAAATAAGTCTTATATTAAAGACCGAAGGAGTAATATATAAGAAATAGTGCCGTATGAAAATAAGCAAAGATATAAAATTTAAAATTTAAATAAATGGTAGCTTGATTATTTGGATGTTGATGGCCTTTATTTTTGCCGACAACAAATGTTGATTACCTTTTTAAAAATTTAACACGATAACTCTATTTTTTATAATAACTGAATTTTCTTCTTATTCCCCCGTTGCCCTCATCGTCCTCGCAGTCATTCATGCCGCTCCCGCATTGCCACCTGCTTCTCTACCTTCCCGTCTCTCTCCCCCAGCGCTGGCTACTCCTTTATCTTCTGCCTTCCGCAGTGCCGTAGGAGTCGTCTGTCATTGTCGTTGTCTATTCTTTCAGTTAACCTCTTGTGTGAGCTTCTTATCCTTGCTTGCTTAATCACTTCTCTTCCTCATCTGATCCCTCCGGTCACACCTCTCCTTCAAAGCGCCGCACAAATATCATCAAAGGTGAGCTATTTCTGATTTGTGATTTTTCTGTTTTGCTGGGTACCAATTTTTCTGTTGTTATTTCTCTCTGTTGTTCGGAGCCATACAACTCTTCAGTGTTCTGATTTTTCTCGAGCCGGCTTTATATGCTCGATTGCTCTCCAACTGGATTGTCTTGTGAATTCATCTATTTGTGTTGTTTTTCTCATTTCCATTCTAAAAGAACTGTAGTTGCTACCAATTATGGAGGAGCGATAACTTGTTTTTAAGTAAATTTTCATCTAAGGGCTGGATTGGATGATTATTGATTCTTTTGGTGTTTTTAGGGATACTTCGATATCCTTGTTTGTTTTCATCGCTGCCACTCTCATCGATCCATCTAGAAACCTCACTCAATGATCACCTAACCCCACCTGGCGTTGAAAGAGAATGGAGCGGGGTAACAACATGAAGGGTTGGGCCCTCACGAGCAAATGTACGAATTTCCGTTGGAAAAAATGTATTTATAATTGCAACCAGTTTGATTAGCACTCCCAATTCATCAGATTGTTCAGATTTGATATAAATAATTTAGATTTGATTTTTTTTAGTTTTATTTGTTTAAAATGATTATTTTAACTGATATAAAACTCAAAATAAAAATCATCTCTTAATTATTATTTTTTAAAAATAATTTTTATTAAAAAATAATTAATTAAAGTCTTAAATTTGGATAGTTTGATCTGGACGGTCTAGGTTTGATAAGTTTGATAAGTTTATGATATTCATTATTTTAATAAGCACTCAAATTGATTAGTAGTGCCTTAAAAAACAATTTTTAGTACGCACTAGTTTTTTTTGGCCAAAAGTGTGCAGCTATATGAATCTAGATTATATTGAAAAATTTGCAATATGTAAAAGTGATGCGCAGGATACTCATTTATGACAAAAAGGAAAAACGGTACACTTATCTTTATTTTTATTATATTCTTTTTTTTCAATATAAATGAGGTATGAGACAAGAATTATTTTTCAGTATAAATTTGAGACATCAAAAGCAAAATAAAGACAAATTTAAAAGATCAAATATTATATTGATCCTATTTTTTATTTCATGAAAATTATTTTGTAATAAATGTTCAAAAATTTTATTTTAATATAAACTCTCTCCATCACATATTATCTTTTTTTCTAATTTTTTATTATAATAATTTTTTATTTTGTTATATTCTCTCCTGAATAAATAAGAGTATTTTAGGAAGAAAAGAAATTTTAATTTTTACACATTTAATATTTTTAACAATTTTAACTAATTTTTAATTTATGTGATTTAGTCCAAAATTGCTTATAAAAATAGTAAAAAAAGGGTGTTAGGTGTATGGCCAGAAAAAAAAAAATTGTGCAGTATCATACTAATGGCTATTTGTTCTGTAGGGTAGCAATCAATTAATGTCAATTTAATAATCATAGTCATGTGTAGATGAAGAACAGACCTTGATAATGGACCGTGACAGACGAGTACATTGTGAAGTCTTCGACAATAATTAATTAATCAAAACAGTGGCAGAATCAGTAATTACATGCAAAGTACACGAGCAATTACTTGATGCGACGAGAATACAAAATTCGGTTCCGCGAGGCTCTTCAGGGTGTGTTTGGATGAAACCAAACCGTGGTTTGAAAAAGTGATTCTGGAGAATAGATTCTGGGAAGAATAGATTCTGTGAAGAATAAATTTTGTAAAAAAGTGATTATGAGAAGTGAGAGTGTTTGGATAGTTGTTATCAGAAGCACTTTTTATATATACAAATTACTAAAAAAAAGACATAAGTTAGTATGATAATTACAGAAAAAATAGATTTTATGATATATTTTAATTTGAAGGAATAAAATTGTTAATAATATATTTTTTACCAACATAATTACTAATACATAAGATAATATAATTAATAAATAATTAATGTGTATATATATTTATAAAATATAAGATTAAATATGTTTATAAAAAAAATATGTTTATAAAAAAATAACAAGATATATATCCTATAGGCTCTCACACTCTCCCTTTTTTCTCCAAAAGCAAAAAATTTTTGCTTTTTCCAAAACCATGGTTTTGGCTTTTAGAGGGGGTGTTTGGGTGATTGACACCCCAAACCATGGTTTAGATCCCCAAACCATGATTTGGAGTGTCACCCAAACACACACTCAGTCTCCTTCCCTCTTCTCGGTGCCCCGGCCATCACTGACACCTATTCGCTTTTAGTTCTCAACATCACATTCCGTAAGTTCCATCTTTTTTTTTTTTTTTTTTTTGACCTTTTGTGTTTGGGCGTTTCTTAGGTTTTTGCTTCGGTCATGGCGCTGTGAGAATCTTGACTTTTAATCGTTCCATGTATTTTTTTTTTTTTTGACCGGAATCGTTCCATGTATTATTAAACTTTCTAATTCTACCAGCTTTATATTTGTTCTCATTTTTGGGTACACTTAGGAGTGATATTTAAATTGCTTTAGGGTATGTTTGGTATCAGGAAAATAAAGGGAAAGAGAGGGAAGAGAAAATTTTAATGACCCCATTTTAAAAAATTTAAAAAGTGGGGTTATCAAATTTTGAAAAGGGAAAAATCTAAGATAAAAGAGTATTTAAAATTAATCAAAAAATTGCTACCCTTCTTCAAAATTTGATAACCCCACTTCTTCAAGTTTTTAAAATGAGCTCATTACCTTTCCCTCCATCTCCCTCGTACCAAACAGACCCTTAGGCAAAAGCTTTTATTTTTCAATTGCTATTTGACGGCAATTCTTTTCCCTCTGTCTAAATATATTCTCAAATAAATGATTATACAAATGCACAGATTATTAATTAAATAAAAATGATCTATTTAATTTTTTTTTATTTCATCCTATTTTCCTTTTACTTTTCCCTTTGTTTAAATATATTCTCAACTAAATAAGTATATAAATGCAAAAATTATTAATTAAATAAAAATATAATAACAATGATCTATTTACTTAATTTTTTTATTTCATCCTATTTTCTTTTTACTTTTCCCCTTGTCTAAATATATTCTTAACTAAATAAGTATGTAAATGCAAAAATTATTAGTTAAATAAAAATGATCTATTTAATTAATTTGATTTTGGAAGATTTTTCTCTCTAATATTATTTTTTCTCTAATTTTTTCTCCTAAGTAAAAGCTAAATATATAATACTAGTGGATACTGGGCTCAACCGAAAAAAATATACTCATCCGATCCTAAATATAAAACATTTATATTAAGGGTCCTATGTTTAAGACCCGAGGAGTAACATATAAGATATAGCGCCATATGCAGATAAGCAAAAATTTAAAAATTAAATAAATGGTAACTTTGATTATTTGGATATTGCTTAAAACAAATGTTGATTTCTTTTTTATTTTCTATAAAAGTTTACCACGATAAATCAATTTTTTTTAGGGGAAATCACAAATAAAGACCTTTCAATATGCAAAATAACAGATAGGTCACCTGAATAAGTGAAATTATTCACAAGGACCCGGCCTCAAATTGTAATTATGAAATCATGGCAAAATTACCAAAATACCCCTCTTTAATTTTTTTTTTTTTAAAGAAAGCCACTACCTCACCGAAATCCGGCCACCGACGCCGGAGCTCCGGCGGCTGCTTTCGGCCATTGCCGGCAGCTGGACGCCAGGGTCCGGCCGCCAGAGCTTCGGCGTCAGCGGCCACTTTCGGCGACCTTCCTTTGTTTTTTTTTTTGCAACTGTTTTTTTTTAAATAGTGGGGGAAGTGAGGTTGGGGGGATTTGATCCCATAACCTAATGCTTCCTAAAATAAGGAATGACCATTGAGTCGACAAAATTTTGTTAACATTATGATGCAAAAAAAAAAAATTAACTCATTTACTCTTGTTCCAGGTGATAACAACAATAAATTTAGAAATAACAAGTTCTGATTGTAAAATAACACGTCTGGAATAAAAATTTAACAATATGTTTTTTTTATAACAATAAATTTTTTTGCAGGTAATAACAACAATACATTTAAAAATAACAAGTTTAGGATTAAAATTTAACAACACGTTTTTTTTATAACAACACACTTTGTTTCAAGTGATAATAAAAATACATTTAAAAATAACAAGTTGTGATTATAAGATAACAAGTCTGGGATTAAAATTTAACAAGATGTTTTTTTTATAACAACACACTTTGTTTCAGGTGATAACAACAATCCATTTGGAAATAACAAGTTCTGATTGTAAAATAACAAGTCTGGAATTAAAATTTAACAGCACCTTTTTTTATAACAATTAATTATTTTATACTTTTGGAAAATAAATTATTTATAACTTATAAAAAGTACTTGTAATCTATTTAATTTGCTAAAAAAATAATTTTTATCTCCAATTTATAATCAGAACTTGAAGTATAATTTTTTATAGATTAAAAATACTTTTTTATTGTTCAAATTTATAAATAAAATTTAGGGAAAATGGCAACACACTTTTTTAATTTTTTTTAAAAAATTTTTAATCTATATATCTATACAACTTATTATAAATCAAATTACTTCTTATAAATTATAAATAGTACAATTTATTATGAATTAAAAATACTTTTTGACTGCTTAAATTTATAAATGAAATTTATCTCTAATTTATAATCAAAAATACTATTTTATTCTTTAAATATAAAAACTATTTTTAATATTTAAAGAATGAAATAATATAAAATTTATACTATGATTAATAGATTAAAAATGCCTAATTATAAATACTTTATAATTTATAAGAAGTAGTTTGATTTATAATGAGTTGTATAGATATACAGATTAAAAAGTATTTTTTAGAGAAATAAATATATTAAAAATATTTTTATAAGTTATAAATAATTTATTTTTTAAAAGTATAAAATAATTAATTGTTATAAAAAAATGTGTCGTTAATTTTTAATCCCAGACTTGTTATCTTATAATCAAAACTTGTTATTTTTAAATGTATTGTTATTATCACTTGAAACAAAGTGTGTTGTTATAAAAAAACGTGTTGTTAAATTTTAATCCCAAACTTATTATTTTATAATCAGAACTTGTTATTTTTAAATGTATTGTTGTTATTACCTGCAACAAAATTTATTGTTATAAAAAAACATATTGTTAAATTTTTATTCCAGACGTGTTATTTTACAATCAGAACTTGTTATTTACAAATATATTGTTGTTATCATCTGGAACAAGAGTAAATGAGTTAACTTATATTTTTTTTTGCATCATAATGTTAACAAAAATTTGTTGGCTTAATGGTCATTCCTTATTTTGGGAAGCGTGGCCGGATTCCGCTTTCTTTTTTGAAAAAAAAAATTAAAGAGGGGTATTTTGGTAATTTGGCCATGATTTCATAATTATAATTTGAGACCGGGTCTTATGAGTAATTTCACTTATTCAGGTGACCTATATGTTATTTTGCATATTAGAGGGTCTTTATTTGTGATTCTCCCTTTTTTTTTATAATGCCCGAATTTTTTTCTTATTCCCGCGTTGCCTTCATCCTCCTCGCCGTTGTTCTAGCCGCTCCCGCGTTGCCAGCTGCTTCTCTACCTTTCCGTGTCTCTCCCACAGCGCCGGCCTCCACTTACTCCTTCTTTATCTTCTGCCTGCCGCAGTGCCGTGGGAGTCGTCTGTCGTCATCGTCTATTCTTTCAGTTAAACTCTTGTGTGAGCTTCTTATCCTTGCTTGCTTCATCACTTCTCCTCCTCATCTGATCTCTCCGGTGACCTCTCTTCTTCAGACCACCGCACAAATTTCATCGAAGGTGAGCTATTTCTGATTTGTGATTTTTCTGTTTTGCTGGGTACCAATTTTTCTGTTGTTATTTCTTTCTGTTTTTCGGAGCCATATATCTCTTCAGTGTTCTGATTTTTCTCCAACTGGCTTCGTATGCTTGATTGCTCTCCAACTAGGTTGTCTCGTGAATTCATCTATTTGTGTTGTTTTTCTCATTTCCATTCTAAAAGAACTGCAGTTACCACCAATTATGGGGGAGTGATAACTTGTTGTTAAATAATTTTTAATCTAAGGGTTGGATTGGTTAAGAATTGATTCTTTTGGCGTTTAAGTTACGGATACGTTGATATCCTTGTTTGTTTTCATCGCTGCCACTTTCAATGAGTTGTATTGATTATTGAAACCTTCATATCTCATGCCACGTTAAGGTTAGCAGTAAATAGCTTCAAAGGGGAAGGGTAGTGGTCTGCTGGTGATTGTAATTTGTAGAAGAAGTGGAAATTTTAGGACATTGGAGCTTTTAATCAATTTATTCTTCTGCTATCAGCTTCCTGTTGCAGAAGCACTTGTAGGTAGTGGAGATTTTTATATCGGAAATATGGATTTTGAGGAAGTTCACCCGAGATCTTATTTCAGCCCATTAGTGCATCTATTGTGTACGGATCCAATAGTGATATTAGATTCCTCCGCGTGATACTTTGGGTAGGTGTGAGAGTCATCTTATACTTGTGCTGGGTGACATCTCCGTATTTTGTGGTGTGATTAATGAACTTGTTTTCCCTGAAGGATCAGCTCTCTAAGAGTTGTTGCGATGCTTCTATCATTGTTGAGGTTGCAGAAAAACCCAAAAAATTAAATGAAAAACAAAACATAACAGGTAGCATATTTGTCTAAAACATTATAAATTCTTTTAAAGAGTACATGTGATGCTAATGCCAACACCATGTTGTGCGTTTAAACTATGATTTTTTATTTTATAAATAGGTGATGAGGTGCTGCTTTCTCAAAGTTTTCACGGCCGTTTTATTGTAACTTTGGTTGGGATTTGCTGACATCTTTTTCTTCTGCTTTTATTGCTTGATATATGTACTCTTTTTGTATGAATTACAGAATGGGAAGCATAGAAAACAAGTCGATTTCTGATATGAGGGAGAATATTTTGTGCATATTTAAAGATTTCATGACTGGGTAATTGCAAATTTACTATTAATTGCTTAATTAATTTGTCTGTACTCATAGTAATATATTAGGAAGTGAAGGTCTTTTTTGGTTGTCTCTTTACCGGGAGCAAATAGATTACATGCTTGCATTGACAGACCCTTTAAAAGTGGGGAATTCTTTGAGATATTGCATTTTGTATCATTAGGAGCTCAACCTCTTCCTAAAGAACACCGCCCCCCAAAAAAAAATAAAAAATCCTATTGAGATTGAAAACGAATCCTCCCTTGTAAATTGAGAAAGAGATTTGAGTTGTGCTGACTTTTATTCCATCAGCTACTAAAATAACTTAAAATCGACTGTATACTCATCTCAGGATGCATATTAATTGAAGAAAGAACTTTACATGCTTATAAATATTATAAGTATCATTTAATCAGATTACAAGCTTATTGCAATTTTTACGTTTAAAGTATTTACATAAGCAATACCATCAGAAGTGAGCCTTAAGGTGCTTAGGTATAAACATTTAACGAGTAATCCCTACACCCAGGAAACAGTGGGAGTGAAAAATTAAGGTGGTGATGAGGGAAAAGAATTGAACATAGTGAAAGAAAATAATGCATAATGAAAACATTATCACATATACGTATTACTACTTACTACTGATGAAGCCGACTCTTGATATGCAAATATGTCTTTGCATTTTTTCTCTTTCTCTTGTAATTTCTGAATTCTAGGAAAAGCTTTATTTTATTTTTCCTTCTGTTCATTTTATGTAATTGTTTGGATTTTTACGCTGTGGTAGGATTACAAAAATTGATGAGCTGGGGACTGCTGGAAGCAGGCTGCTGATTGGCTTTCAACAAGCACTTGGTAGTTTTAGAAAGTTATGTTTAATTTGTGTCACTCGTTCAAAATAATAATTCTTGTCTCATACCTCATTGATGTCATAACTTTTTCATGCAGAGTACCTTCGTAGACCTCCTATAGAAGGAACTTCTGAATTAATTGACAACATAATTAAAGCTAATGAAACACAGAGAGTTAAAATGTATATTGAAGCTGGATGTAGGAATTCCCTTCATGGTGTCCAGAATGTAAACAAGAGTAAGGGCTGCTACTTTTAACCTTCTTAATTTAGGCGTCAGATAAGTTTTGAAAAGTACACAAACATATTATATAATACCCTCTCCAGTTCTATTTATGAGACCTTTTCTAGAACCTTTTCGTGGTCCTTGATATGAGACTTCTTACAAAATGGATGAAGCTTTTGTGAATATCTTCTGGATATGCCCTTAATTGGAACTTGGAATTTTGACTTTAAGTGCGGAAAATGAGAGCCCCACATACCATTTAATGACTTTAATGATGAGTGATTTTGGAATGTTATGATAATTTTTTATAAAATCAAGAAAGTTAACTGATTTCAACTGCTTAATCTGTGTGATTCAGTTAAAAATGTCTTATAAATAAGACTAAAGGGAGTATAATTTTCCAGTTTCATCGCTTTATTAATGACTGACCCCGAAGTATGGCTGTCATTATATTCAAGGTTTTCCACTCAACTGCAACTTCACTAAAATTAGCCAAACTTTTATAGACAGAAGTTCTCAATTTTTAATTATATTTGCTTTGCATACTTCTTAGAAACATGATTTAAGAAAAGCTTTATGCTCAAGGTAGTTTTTGTCTAAGTTCCTCACTTATAACTTTCTTTTCTTGACTTAATTTTTTGGCATTCCATCCCTTTTATTCAATTTGTCACCTGTCTGTATTTGATGTGGTTTGAGTGAAGTCACGAGATAATTTTGTTATTAAATATCAACTAAATTGTGAATCCCTTCAACTTTATTGCTTTCTTTCCTAACTGACAATAACAACTTTCATTATGGCAAATATGTGCATATGGAAGTGAACTCATGCAAGCTTGGGCTTCTTGACCACAATAGCAAAGGTTAGCTCTTTTCATGTGATTTATTTCTTTCTTTCATATTCATAACAACAAAGGTGTTTATTGAATATATTTCCTCTTAAAGGATTTGGAACCGCCATGTCATTTCTTTAACCATTTGGATTCTATAGCCTTCATCTATACCATCATCACCATGGCTTACATTCCATTTTCTCCGTGAAATACATAATTAGGTAGCATTTTCCAATAATAAGTGCTATTCATCATATTATAATTTCTTTAAAATGTTTCCCGACTTGGGTCAAAGCAACTACGTATGTGGTACCAAAGCACGTTCTAATATTGGCAGATTAAGAACGTGTTGAAATACCAAGTTTTTTTTTAAAAAAAAATAAACGATCGAGTATATTGATAAAGTGATTAAAATACAAGTCTCTTAATAGTTCCCCAAGAGGGTATGTATGGTATGATTGTGATCTAAAGCTTTTGGTTTTAAAACTATTCTTGACTGAGATGAAATATTCTTCGTATAATGTCTTTTCATATTTTGTGTTGTCATGTTTGATGAAGTGGCTATTATCATCACGACCTACTTTTCTGCAATAGGAAACGAAGAACCATTTGTTAGTCCCGTGTTATATTGATGTTTGCATTGATTGTATTCTTGGCATATAAGTAATCTCATTTCTCTCTCTCTATTTATATATATATATGTGGTCAACCTGGTTGAAAATTTCTTTTGCAGTTCTCCGTGGTTTTTTCCTTTTCTGCATGACTTTAACAATGAAATGGTGCATTTTGTCTCGCAGCCAAAGTAATTGTTGAAGAACTTGAAGGCCTTTTGGATGATGTTACAAATTCCTTGCAAAGGACAGATGGAAATTTATTGCTCATTTCAGAGAAGGATTCTGATGACCATCCAATCCATAAGGATACGGTAAAATATTTATTTCTTGCTTTTTGAAAGAATTTTCAATGCAATCACCATATGAAAGGTTTTGTGATTATATATAAACTATAATATAAAAAAAATTTTGGGGGGGGGGGTCACATGCATATGCGTATCATCGTTAAATTGGCAGTTTACATGCTTGTCCTGATGGAGCTGTTATCACGGCGTTTTTAGATTGCTCAAGAATCCTGTCTATCTTTTTCTCAGGAGGGACTGGCCTTGTCTGATTCTCAAAATTTTGATGTCACACAATTAGCTGCACTCATGAGCATCATATACAGTATGGTCAAGCAAGACTATCTGATGCAGGTGACAATGAGGTCTTCTTGATATTGCAATCAGTTAAAACGTGAACTTCAAAAATTCCCCCTTATTGTTGCAGGAAAAGATTGTTTCAGCTTTAAATCTCAAGTCGTCATCAGGAGAACTCGAAAGTTACTGCCTATTGTGGTCATTGCGGCCCTTTATAAATGATGACATCATCCATCAAGCTTGGAGACTTATTCCCTGACCCTCGTGTTTCTAATTGCGGTCTTGTTTGCCATCAGGTTGTTCTAACGTGAAATTTTATGCACTTAGCCTTTATCTATACCATCATGTTATTCTTAACATGTCTTGCTTTTGGATCTCAAGGTGGAAATTAGTCATGTGCAAAAAATAATTAATACAACTGATTTCATTTTCGCTTTGTGGATATGACCTTTCATAGACATATTGGTTATTGATTTGTCGCCTTGAACATCCTACTTGGCTGACCTTTTACTGCATTAATGTAGCCAAAGTTGGGCATCCTGCCCCCAGCTATTGTCTGTATATTCTATCTATGCCTCACCATTTCATGGTTATGGAACTAATCTGACCTTAATTTCTTTCAGTGATGTTGTCTATTAGATAAAATTCTTTTGAAGATGGATCTACTAGTTTTTAAATTATTTGATTGACTAAGGGTGGCAGAGGAGAGAGTTGAAGGCCTCATGTAAGATCGGAACTTCAAATTTCATTGGTGGGAAAGCGCAAGCTTGATATAACAGATCACATATATCAAGTGAGGTGTGTCTGCTCATCCTAAAATGTAGACGGATTTTGTAAGCTTAAGAATAACATGGATAGCTTAGGTAACACGTCAGGCGCAAGTTTCATATCAGAACTTGAGAATAATGCCATTCTTGCAAGCTTCTCCTTCCATGGACTTTGTTATAGTCAATCTTTATCACCTTCTCCTGGAAGCCCACAGAATGCTTCTGTGGCAATACTGGAGAATTTGAAGGGAAAAAAATACTAAAAAAATTTATTGCCAGGGGAAAGTAAATAAAATTTCAAAATAATTTCACTAAAAATATATAAAATAAGTAATGAAAGAAAATCAAACGACATTGCACCAAATGAAACGAATAAAAGTCGAAATAACAAAAACCAAGGACGCTCATTCATCCTTAGATAAGGACAGAATGGTAACGCCGCGCAAACAAGCCGGGAGCAAGGAAAACTATCTTTAGTAAGCTTAAAATTTATCCAAACAAGAACAAAAATGGTCCGTCTAGCTTTTATGCTTCTTGCCATGGTTTTGGCAATTTAAATGTTCAAACCAAACCAATGGACTTGAATTTAGGGGGTGTTTGGGCGTTTTAAAAAGTGCTTCTCAGGAGTATTTTTCTGCAAAACGGGATAAATTTCTGTATATATTTATTTCGTTTACTGTAAAAACACTTTTAAAATTATAGTTTTGATCCCATCTAAACACTCCTTTAATCCCTCATAATATAATGAATTAAAATTTGAATTTCTATTAGAAGAGATATCTACATTTAGTGCTCAACAATGTCTTAAATAGAATTATCTCCAATAAGAGAATACCTATCCCTAGAAGAAAAAAAGTTCAAACCAAACAAACTTCTTGTTATTTATTTGATAGTTAAGTCAATACTTATTCAGTCCAAACCATGTACATTATTTCGTATGTTATTAGGAGAGACTATAGTCATAGATGAGAGAAGAAACGAAAACGAAAATATGTTTAAAAAATATTATATATATTAAAAGTTAATAAAAATTTATCTAACTTGAAAAAGTTTGATTGAGTGGTACATCCCTTTAGGGTGTGATGGAAGTTTGATATTATACTTAAGAATATACCGTTTATGCCAATCAAGTGGCAAATCTAGAATATGCCATATTAATTTATACTATCAAAACTTACACAATCTATTAAACAGCACAAAGAACATTCTGATACCTTATTGACCCAAAATAATTCTTTTTTGACAAATGGTTAAATACTTTTTTTTTAAGGAAAAATCAATATAATCACCTAAATAATTCTTTTCCCTTTCCTGTTGGCCTGCCATAAGTCTGCATCATTTGCCTGATATAAATCAATATACTCATGTTTCATCCTAGCCCAAAATTTTGGGACCCAGGCCCATTAAAGAAATCATTTGCCTATTTTTTTTGTTTTTTTTGACCAGGATCATTTGCCTCACTGGGGAGAAAACCAAAAAATCAAAAAATGAAAAAGGACACAACGATGAAATATAAATAAATTATTCTTTTCCTTCAATCGGTATCTTCTTCCAACTTCCATCATTTTCCTCCCTTTCCAATCTCCCAAACGCATCTCAACGGAGATACTTTGTCGTGGATGAACCTTGTCCTTCTCCGAAGGATCTCCCTTTACTCCTTCTCTTTTTGCCTCGTGTTTTCTACCTATTAGACGACGGTCTTTTTCCTATCAAGACCAAGTCGGACTCTGTTTTCTGTCCATCGTTTCCCGGGGACTCTGTGTTTCAGTCCGTAGCTTGCAAGATACTAGGATAAGTATATTGAGATCCAAATTAACGTCTTCGTAGCATCGCTGGAGCCGTCCCGTCTAAGGCAAGTTCAAAGAAATCGATGCTTCATGGTCAAGACTCTCGAGTTCTATCTTTCTGGAATCTTCTTGTTTCAATTAAATTTTATTGAACTTCAGGTTTACTTCTACATTTGGTTAAATCTCTGTATCTTGACCCAAAATTGTGGCTTCTCTTTGAGTTTGTGATTTGCTAATTTTGTATTGATAAAACGTTGGGGAGAACATCTTGGTTTGAATCTGTGGATTAGGTGTTTGATTTTCTTTCCTAAAGCTACTCTAGGAAACTGATATAAACACTTGCATTCATTGATATTGACCCTGTAAAATGACAAGTAATAATTGGTTTGAGTAAATTAATATTAATGATTAGTCTTTGTCTCCAATTAGGCAGGTCACGGTTAGCTGATATATGGCATAAATGTGAGCCTACCTGGTCGTTAACTAATGATATGGATGGACTTTCCGTACTTGAAACGTTAAAATGATGAATTTTGCCTAATTTCCCTCAAGTCAACTGACCCAGCCCAAAAATTGCATCTTTGCAGATCTAGCTTTTTTGAAACTAGACAAAAAGACATATTTTTGGGGCTACAAGATACTTGAGAGTACATAACGTAATCTACTGGTTACCTGGGTTCCCGTTTTTGCTGTTAGTGAGTTTGTAACTGACAATGAATCTGTGCGACAGGTGGATAATTTTAATATGGGGAAAACATTCAGGGGGTTAAATTGAGAGGACTTTAATCTTGCAGAAATCAAATTATCAACTTAATCTGCATTGTCAAACTAACTAAGATGTTCTTCCTGTCCAATGAAGACTCATCCAAAATAAAATCTGTTGCAAGAATGCTCCTCTTGCTTTTCGAGTGTAGTTTGATCCTACAGAAGTTTTAAAGCTTGATGCATATCATACTATAGAGAATTAGCATGTTCAAGTGTGTTAAATCTTATGCATTTTCTGTTACTTTACTCTATGCAGTTTGCTATCTGTAGCTTGTTGATTCTTGACTTGAGAGCTTGTACAAGTTCTGGGCTGTCAGCTGTCAGCTATTTGCATGATTTAAGGATGCTTGTATTTATTTAAATCATTACCATTATTTCCTAGACTGACAAATAGCTGATTTAGGAGTGTTGTCAGTAGCTAAGTATTATTTCTGTTCCTTGTACTTCGGGAGATTCTCCTAAGCTATGAAGAGCTTGTGATTGACATTGTTACTCGTATCTTCCTAATAGATTGTTTCTTTGAAGAAAACTATCTTTTGCATCCCTACCTCTGCCACGAATTTGGAGAATGAACTGGAAATGATGTTATTGATTTTGTTGTATGCTTTCAATCTTGTCATCTGAACTTAAAATTGAAGATTTTTGACTAAATGCAGAATTAACCCAATGCTTCCTATTCATAGCTTTGCTTTTTTTTTTTTCTTTTTTTTTTAATGGAAAATGACGCACCACAGTATTATAATTTTTAAATGACATTTTTTTGTACCATATGACAATAGCAAGAGAGGAGAGAGGGAATGAAGAAGAGCTTAAGCTATTGGTTGTGGCATTGAACTGTGCTTCTTGTTGGCTTGCTTTTCTGGTCTGGCGTAAGCTGTTTTCCATTTGAATCCTGGACCAGTGATCCAGTGGCTCTCTTCTTCGAAGAGACATTTTACAGTTTTACATAAATTCACTTCCTCCGATCTTTGTTCTACTTATATCAAAGCTCAATAGATAGCCTCTTTAAGTCTTCTTAGAGCATTTGGCTGACCGCACAGATGCCTCAACGCTCAAATGATTGTGGAACTTTTATAAAGCTTTTAGTGTGGGCTGTGACATATTTATTAGATTGAGAGGCATATTCTTGAATGAATTGCACGTATATTTTATCTTTTTCCCCCTGACGTGTTTGTTTTACTAATTCAAAAGGGTTATTTCTATTGTCCTTTTATTTTCAAATTCATGATTATTTGTCTCAACCGGATTCTCTGCCGTGGAATGTTCTTTATTTATTATTTATAATCAATAAGTTGCTTTTAGTATATCACCAGCATTTTGAGTTCACCTAACCCCGCAATAATGGGGGGACGATGTTGGACTAAGGTAATAAGTAGATTAACAATGGTACGTTTTTTATGACTGGCCACCCTTTGTGCTTAAATAACTATACATGTCCCTGTGGACTATTAGATATTTCTGCCTTCTTATTAATCGCAATGCTGAGTAACATCAAACTTGGTAGAGTGAAAAGGTCAATAACTGAAATAAAATTATTCAGTTATATCCTTTGAATGCTAAAATTGCTCAATGAATGATTACTGGATACAACTCAGTTAGAACTAGTGCTCAAATTATTCATTGCATTGATGTTTATAAAACACTGTATGAGTAAGCCCATTTTATCTACCCGATACTCATTACGTAAGTCAAATTTCTTGTTCCTTAATCTATGCAAGTAAAATGTATCTATCTACATATATGCTAATTTGATATGATAAATACATGCTTTTTACTTTTTGTAGAATTATCACAATATGTTGTCTTATGTTGCCCTTTGTCACTGATCTTGTGTTTGATCTACTTCTTTTGCTAGCTTCCTCCTGGATTTTGGGTCACAAGCCTTTTCAAAATGTGTTCTGTTGTCTTATTCAGATAAGGAGAGGGACTAGTTTTTTCTGTTGAACTGATGTAATTCGTCCCCCCCCCCCCCTCATTTCCTGTGGTTTCCTACTTGCCTTTGTATCCTTGAGGATTTTTTTTTCCTGTCCGGCTTTTATTCCCTTTATCCCTTCATGAATGGTTCTTTTATCTATCTAAGGCTCTTACCATATAATTAGGGTATTTTAATATTGTGGGGCAACCTATGGTTGAAACATTTACTTGCTTAGATCTTAAAAGCTCATTTGAATTACATTGTGGGGGTCTGCAGGTCTATCACATTTTGACTTCTCATCATACATCACGAACTGCAGATACAGCTAATATTTAAATATGGAGTTGAATAGCATTAAAGATGCATTTGACCGTGTTACTAAGAAGCAAAAGTTATCTAGTTCTAAGATTCAAGAAGTGATTGATCAGATTAGCAAAGAAATTGAGAAAGCTTTGGACAAGATTCAGTCAGCCAATGGTCCTGACTCTGTACTTGATCACAGATCTGTCCTCAGTGAACTTCACACTAGTTTACGTAATGTTGCACCAGTTAGCCAATTGGAAGGTCCACAAAAGGAGCTTAATGTCGCACTCACCAAGTATGTGAAGATCCTTGAGAGATCCTTCAACCCCGATATATCAAAGGCTTATAGAAATATTGATTTTGATATACACACTTTAAATCAAATAATTGCGAGCCATTTCTATCATCAAGGCCTCTTTGATATTGGAGACTATTTTATAAGTGATGCTAAGGAACCAGAAGCTGCTGCTGTTATGAAGTCTTCATTCCTGGAAATGTACCAAATACTCGAAGCAATGAGGAACCAGGACTTAGGACCAGCCCTCAACTGGGCTGCCACTGTTTCTGACAAGCTCACACAAAATGGATCTGACCTTTTATTGAAACTTCATTCCATGCAATTTTTGAAAATACTGCAAAGTGGAAGTAGAGATGAAGCTCTTCAGTACGCTCGAACTCACCTTGCTCCTTTTGCTTCCAGTCACATGGATGAGATCCAGAAGCTTATGGTCTGTATTCTATGGATTGGAAAGCTTGATCAGTCTCCGCACCATGCATTAATATCACCAAGTAACTGGGACAGGCTGGCTGGAGAACTAAAAAGGGAGTTCTGCAATCTCTTGGGTCAATCTTACAACAGCCCATTGAGTGTGACTGTGGCAGCAGGGATTCAGGGTTTGCCTCCTCTTCTTAAATTTATGAATGTCATGGCAGGGAAGAAGCAGGAATGGCAGACTATGACCCAGCTGCCTGTACCAGTCGAGTTGGATCGGGAATTCCAGTTTCATTCTATTTTTGTTTGTCCTGTCTCAAAGGAGCAATCAACCGAGGATAACCCTCCTATGTTGATGTCGTGTGGCCATGTCCTTTGTAAGCAGTCTATCGCAAAGATGTCCAAGAACAGCACAAAGATGTTTAAGTGCCCATATTGTCCCTTTGATATTGACGCAGCACAATGCAGGCAGTTATATTTCTGATGTTGATGAACTGTTTGAAAAAACACACACACTCCCTCCCTCCCTCTCACTCTCATGTGTATCAACAGAATGGTGTTGTAGAAAAGTTCCACTGTGAAGCAGGGGCGAATATCGTGGTGACATAAACCCATGCCCTCTTCTGATGTCTGTCTGTCTGAACACTAAATTCTTTTTTTAGTTATGTCAAAGGGCAAGTTCGTCCACTACAACAACGGCATGCTTGTTTATACATTCTTTCAATTTAAAGGTTCGTTTTTGGCCCCCAAGGGGCATGCTACTCCGTTTGCTTGCAATAGAATGCGTGCAAAAACCAAACACAACACGTATGCCTACTTCGGAGAAATAAGGAAGAGTGGATGCCTGCATCCGTTTAGACATGCAGTGCTTCACGAGTGTGTTTGTTTTCTTCTGGAGAGTGAGTCACAGGTTCATCCAGTTATTAATCAGATGATTAAGAAAATAAATATTATGTACAAGTCTAAGAACTTCTGATGAGTCACTAAAGATATTGATCTATTCTTATCGCAATCTTGATTTTAACATAGCCTGGAACCTTTCACATTATTTACAAGTTTGACAATAATGTTGGGAAGAAAACCGGTTGTTTTCTTGTTGAAGATCCTTTATCCAAAACTGTTGCAGTCTCTAAACCTCGTAAGTTATACATCATCTTTAGTGAACAACGCTGTCTACATCTAGTCTAGCCCAACTAGCTTGAGGTGGTGACCATTTGGAGCGTGTGTTCCTTCGATTTGTTGCCAATATGTGCATTTTCGCTTTCTAGCTTGAGATCATTAATGATCTTCTGGGTATTGATGAAAGCAATGTCTCCTTCAAGAGTAGAGCTTGCTGCATCCAACTTCTATATGTACTAATAAATATGAGCATATCTTTGGCATGGTGTTGTTCAAGCTTTAAGCTTCATTCTTAGCATTCCAAAACAACCAGTGCTGCAAAGTTAAAGATAAGGAGAGGAAGCCACTTAGTTTAGAATGCTTCAGAACTTGATGAGTGTTAAGAACTTGTTGAAACACTCTTGGTCAAAGATTGAATGATGAGTCGTTGTATATGAATTTTATATTTTTATTGTCCATTTAATTTTGTTCTTTAGATCCCTATATGTTCCTTTTGCACTTCAATCCCATTGGAGCTCGTTCTTGCTTCAGATTCGTTGCTCCCTCTTTTGGGCCCTGGCCCATAACATTATTGAATCCCAAAAAAGGAATACAAAAATTAAAAATTAAAAAACAAACACATTAACGGTTATTTCTTAACTTCTGTCGAAAGTTTTTTTTTTTTTGGACCTTGACTTCTGTTGAAAGTTGAGACAACGGCTCTTTCCCAACTTTTGTTACTCCATTAACGGATCGAATGACCATAATCATGAAATAAAATATTAGTTAAGAAGGAAATTAACTTATTATAATAACTCTAACTTGTTGAACTCTTCATAATCGATGAACAATGTGAGTCATTTTTGAAACTGCGTATACATATCATGTATGACCCCCGCTAATTTTATATTATTAAGAGACGACTAAAATATTAGTTCATTTCACAAATGAGTCAGGTGTAAGTTATTCTGTCTCTTTCTTCTTTCTTTGGAATTTATAAGAATCTCACGAAACTCACTGGAAACTGAAAAAAAAAAAAAAAAACAGAAGCCAGACATGTTACCGTTTGGACAAATATACAGGCTCACTTGTTGTCCTCGGTTTTCATCCTAAAAGTAAAATCAGAAGAGATAAACGCTGATGAAAAAGATACACAAATAAAAAAAAGGGGGGAAAAGGCTTATAAGAGTTGATCCAGGTAATAAGTAAAAGTCAGCTCATATCCTACCAGGTCATGAGTTTGAATGTTACTTTTTATGTGATGTGAGGATCTTATTTGTAAGTGATTTGTGAGTACATGTATAAATGCAATCTGAATACAGAGACATGTCCTGACAACAATGAAAAAAAAAAAAAAAAAAACTAATCCCTGCATTTGCATGGTCCCCTTCCCGTCCTCGTGGCGAAACATTTATGCTTAGAAGCATAAGCAAAGCCTGAAGCTTTATTGGGATTTACATATAATATTATATATAAATGGAAAGAAGGAACAAAAGGAGCCCACTCATGAACAGCACTTAACAGTGCTCTAAAAGTTTTGCGCAATTTAAGGACTTGTTCAGGAGTCCCCCCACCGGCCACCCCCTCCCAGCAGAACCAAAAGTGGTGGAGGACACATACCCAAAAGATTGATATTATGGCTCTTTTACATGGGAGCTCTCTCATTTGCTTAAAGTCTCATGTCACTCAACACCTTTTTCATCCCTTTCACGCAGATTCAGGCTTCAGAGCTATTCTCCTCTTTCTTTCACCAATTTCTTGACTAAAAGTCATGAAAGTTCCACATTTTATTGTCTTATTTTGTTCCACTTTGGTGATGTTTAACTTTAGTTGTTGAGGTTGAGGACCCATCTCTAATTGAACTCTCTGGTTTTCAATGGTTTTAGCTGTCCTTTTTTACTGATTTTCCTTTGTAGTGATGATTTGGTCTATGTTTTGAATTCAACTCGACACTGATTTACTAGTTTTGTAGTTAAACCAAACCAGTTGGTCTGATATGGTTCAAGTTCTATTACTTAATATTGTTGTTAGCTTTAGATTTTACGGTTTTCTTGAAACTTAAATTCTGGTTTTTTAAATTTCGTTATCAACCCATAATCTGATACTCTTATTTATAAAATAATTTTAAAATAGAAATTAGATCAAGTAGAAGAAGACATGACAAATCAATATTTGAATTGCAGTTAAGAGAAGTGTTGATATTTAGTGCTCGACAGCGCACCATATAAATAGAATTACAAGAGTATTATCTACCAATGGTGTGATCAACCAGAATGGAAGAACTGGCCCTACAAAATTATATATACCCAGAGAAAATGGTGAGTTTAAATATCTTAAGCAGTAAAGGAAGTGGTCCGTGACTATAAAGGGAAGGCTAGTTTTTTTCAAGTGGTAAATGTATAGGATAAGATTAAGGGCAGAGATAAGGATGCGGATTGATGTTGAGATGCAAAAATATTGTGCCTTGAAAGCAAAGAAGATCAAGTTGTTCATATTCCAAGATTACGCATATGCACTACTACTAGTGTGTGCAACAATGATGGTTGTGTGGATATTAAGAACTTTAGTGGGTCCAATTATGGACTCCATTAGGTGGCCTTAGTCAAATCCTACCAAATCACATGCTTCCACTTCTCCTATTCAAGGATGTGCCTCTACAAATTTTCCCAAATGCTAAAAAAAAAAATAATTGCAATAATACAAAAGAAGGCATGTTATACATAACATATTTTAACAATATAATGACTTCTTCAAACTCTATATATTGTATAGAAAAGCATATCTAGTTGAATGTAAATATTTTATTTTGTAGGGGAGATGTTTATCTTTCCCTGCTACCTCACATAATAAGAAGAAAACAAAAGGGGCATTTTTTTTAACTGTTAAATCCTATCCAGTATCATGAAGTATATTATCATAAATTAATTTTTAATGTATTAGCATGTTAAAATATTTTTTAGTAATGTCCAGCATTGTAAAGTAATTTTTTGTGTGTATATAGCTTCCTAAAACATTTTTCTAGAGTGCTTATTGCTATTGAAAAATATACTTTTAAGATAAAACTGTACCAAAAATTACTTTAACATATTGGATTCTGATGAATGATATTGGAAAGACACTCAAGAGTGCTTGATGCAATTCAACCTGTTTTTTTTTTTTTTTTGAAATGCAAGTTATATCTACTAGTGACTAGTCAATTTCAAAATAGATAATAGTATAAGTATTAGATTTTGTTGTTGTTATCATTATTGATCTTGAAATTTTCATTACACTTAGGTTCAAGGTCATCCATTAAAAAAATTTAGAAGAGGGGGGAAAGTAAACCTTCTTACTATAATATTGTCACACAGTAGCATGACAAGAAAGGTACAGGAGAGAATAATGAAATGGAGAAAGACAGAGAACATGCACGCATCTTATCCACATTTTACTTGGATTTCAATTCCTCCATAGTCCCTCTCATTCTTTCTATCTCTCTCTCTCATCATAATGTACTTGCTTGCCCATTGCCAGGACTGGACATTTTGGAGTTATTGTTTGGCACCATGGAAAGCACTAAGCCTAAAACCAGAAGTAGGAAAAGGCTCTTGTTTTACTGATGATGGTGTCAGAAAATCCCACATGTCTTGTATCCATTTGGATTATCCCTTGTCTCATCCTCACTCAAATCAAACCCACCTTTTTGCTTCAAAATTTGGGTGTCTTTTGTTTATTCATACACTAATTTATAATTTAAAAAACTATTAAATCCATATTATCAAACAATTCATTACTTTGGATCCAATACAAAGAAACGTCCCATTATTATTATTATTATTATTATTATTATTATTATTATTATTCCCACATTTTAAAAAAAAAAAGGTTTTTTATTTCTGGAGATCATGAAACTGGGAAGGAGCCGAAGGACAAGAGTCATAAAATGAAAATGCGAACTTTTGGGGCTCACTCTGCCTTCTACTTTGCAGAAAAGGGCCTGGCCGTCCGGTATTGTTTGTCGGCTTCTGGGCCTCAGGACTGGGCCATGTTACTTTTGTTTCTTTTTTTAGAAAAAAATTACATTCTCTATTAATAATTTTTGTCTATTTACTACAAAATTATTTCCCACAAAATGAAAATTACAACTAAAATCTTGCGTTCTCAAAGCCGTGTAAATCACTGACTCTGTTCAACGACTTCCTCATGATGGCCACTTTAGCCAGTCTCTCTGCGGCTCTCCAAGCTGACGTGGGCGTGTTCGGCTCGGCCTTCTCCTCGGTCCGCGTCGTCCCTCTATGGCGTTGGCTCTGTTGGACCTGTTGCTGCCTGCGCCGCTGCAGCTCCGCTTGCTCAGCTTCCAACCAGCGCAAATACTCATCGGCCGATTTCCGGCTCGACTGCATCAGCAAGGCGCGAGCCGATGTGAGTAAGTAATGAGCTCCGGACAGATCACTGTGCTCGGCGAGCCGTCTGGATTCGGCTACTCCTCGAGCCGTGACGTGGAGGTTCCTCAACCGTTCGATTTTAGGGTCTGATGATCGAACGGCGTGTGGCCGAGGTATGACCAGCGCGTGGTCTTTGGAAGTAACTATCTCTTCGGTGGATGGGTCCCGATAGGAGGACCGTACGGACAGAACGTGGTGGGACCCGGCTGAAGCGGCGGGCACTTTCAGCTCCACCAGCAATTCTCTCTCTTCCTCGGCGTAGAGATCACCGAGTCGGACGTTGCCCACCCCAAGAGCCGTTGGTCGACCAGATAAAGAATATACGGCGGCAATCTCCACAGGGACGGAGCGGGACACAATTCCTAGTTGAAGCTTCAAATCTTGAGCCGCTACGCTGAGCAAACCGCCCATGCGCTTGGCAAGGGCGTCATCGGGCTGCGCGTGGCGACAAGCGCCACTGTCTTGGAATTTCACGGAGTGGACTGGGATTTCCAGGTGCGAGAAGCGGGACGAAGTGACCAGTGAGGACTTCTGATTGGAGGATGCAGCAGTGACGGATCGCTCGCCCTGACCGTGCGAGAGGAGGATGACGCTGGTGAAAGGATTTTTCTCGCGTCGATCTTCGATCACTTTCGCGGCTTTTTTCAGTGCGTCGTTCGTCACAGAAACTTCTTCTCGAGTTTGATCAATTATGGTTAATGCGTCCAAAATCCGACGTGCCGATCTCTGGCCACTGCTGGTCATTCTCCGTAATGGTAAAATCCTCTTGGAGCCCGAGGAGAAGGCGATAATTGAGAGACGATCAGTGGACCCAAGCGATGAAATCACTACTCGCATTGAACGTTTCATCATCTGAAGCTTTTGACCGGCCATAGACCCACCCACGTCCAGCACTGTCACCAGGTCTATTGGAGCTCGACGCGCTACCGACCTCGATGGCGGAGCCTTAACCTTCAACACCACTACGTAAGTTTCATAGTTCCTATTTGCAGCCACAATAGCAGCCTCCGGTAATAAGCACACTTCAAGTGTCCTGATTCTGGGGGATGAAAGAAGAGGACCAACTGGGGAGACATTGAATCCTTGAAACTCCATCGATTCTTCTTCTTGGTCTTCTTCGTTCTCATCAGATTCGGGTATGGGATTGAAGCGAGCAACGGAAGTGGGAGACATCAGAGGCTCATCATCGTTATATACTTTCAATGGCCGAGTTTTGATATCTCGTGCGAGGTTGTATGCTCTGTTTTCCTCGGTGGCTTCATCTTTCTTCAGCTGCTTGTCGGTGCAGATAGCCAGCACTGGCAGTTCTTTCCAATTTGCGTTGCAGACTGGGCAGATATGGATGCGTTGCCTTTTAACATGGGCGGCTATGCAAGGAAAGTGAAAGGTATGAGAGCATTCGGCTGTGAAAATTGCTGTTCCTTGCCCAGTTTTCACGCTGTGGGCACAGATTCCACATCTATTCTGCAGAATTGAAAAGTTGAAAAGTTAGAGAAAAGTGAGAATAATTAGCGTAGGCAGAAGCACAGCAATAACAGGATTTCACTGTACAGATTATGAAAACGAATCAAATCATACATCAGACGCGGGAAAAAAGTCATAGTATAATGATCTTACTCTGGATATTCGGAAGCTGGCTCTGAGAAGCGAGAAACTGGATGGTGACTTAGGTGAGGATGGATTTGAGAGCTGAAGCAGCGCGGGACTGCTTTTCCTCTTCGGTGTCTTAGCGTTACTGCATTGGAGTTTTGGACTATTGGGAACTGAAGAAGTGGAGGTCACGGTGGCTACCGTCGTCCGGCACCGGAGGGTGGGGCTGGTTCCCGGCTGAGACTGTGAGCGTGGGGTTGAAGGGTTGGAGAAAAACGCAAACTTGGTGCTGATTCTTGGGCTCTGGTGATGGTATTGTTGTCGCAATGCTGCTGCTTCTCTGTTAAAACCTTGGACTCTCTGTCTTTGGGAATGGATGTGCAGAACGCCCTTCTCCACCCAGCAACCATCCTCATAAAATTCAATCTCAATCCGTAAGGAATTCGATGGTTGATGATCTGTTATTGTTGTTTACGGAAGTATTTTTTTCCTCAGCAGATGGAAGCGATTAGAAATGCAAAAGAAATAGATTAGGTTCACAGACCTTTATACAAGCTTCTCTTTCCCTTCTTTCCATCTCTCATCTCTTGTTGTTGCCATCTATTTATCTACTGCTTTAAGCTGGCCTATTTTCTAGTGCATATCTCTTTTGTGAGCCCCCCAAAAAAAAACTTCACCCAATGGAAAGCCTTCCTGTTGCTTATAAATTGAAAATGGCCCCTCTCGCTCCTTTTTCTCTCTCTTTCTCTGCCTTCCTTTATATGTTACCATCACATCCATGTTATACAACAGGGTCTCTGAGAGGCCTTTACACAAGAATGGAAATGTTATTAAAGGGGTAAAGTTGAAGTACCTGCTTCTGAAGAAATTTTTATACACTCTTGCGGTTCATTTTTATTATCCAAGATTTTTCTTGAAGTACAGAAATTGATTTAGTCATACTTTATTCGAAATCAAGTTACACAATTTCAGTAACGAACAAATTTTTAGTCCCTGGCATGGTAACCGACAGATGGAGGTTGCCAAATGCCATAATAAGTCAACGAGGGAGGTTAACTTTTGGAACTGCGCATCAGTGTCCCACCCACCACCCTCCAGCTCCGGTTTCTTTTGCAGAGGGCTTCGTTTTCATTCGTAGTGATTGTGATTCATCCCTTCACCTTAATCATCATCAGTTCTTCCTTTTCGTCATTGATATTTGATTCTCTTTTAATTTTTACCCTTGAAGTTGCAATTCTCTCACTGGTACTAGCTATATGACCTGCATGAATTACTGTGACTAGGTGAGGGTTTCGATGACCTGTAATTTTTCTGACCCCAGCATTAAGTAGCTGAACCGCCTTTGATCCCTCGGGTCTGATCTGGTTTGTTCGTATGGTGGGGTCCATTTCGTTTGTGTTGTGTTGTGACTTGTGAGCAGTATTGTGCCGGAGCTGTGGGAAATTGTGTTGTTCGAGATGGAGACCAGTTCTTCTCTTTGCTGTAAAGGGTGAAATTTGTATTCAATTCAACTCTGTTCTGTACTCTGTACTCTGTATCTCATTAATTACCCTGCAATTATTATGAATTTACTGCCTACTAGTCCTTGGAATTGAATAGAATAACGGCCTCCTCTTTTATTATTTTTTTTCTTTGTTGTACATCGATCCCAAAACTACTCTATTATTAATATTAATTGACCCTTCCCCTTTTTAATAAATTTTTCCAAAAATAATTGTCCAATCTTTTTCGTGATTCAGAATTCACTGCTCACCCCCACATTGATTGCTTGTTTTCTCAGCATCACATCTTTAAATTTGCCAATTTGGGGACGCTTTTTCATGCCAACCCTTTTTCATTTTTTACCAGACTTTCATGACAGCCATAGAATTTGCCATATTTCTCTGCCACTCAACCCTTAAAAAGTCATGCATCGGGATCAAAATTGTCGCATAAATCTCAGCTAAGAAGAAGAAAAACCCAGCAACCCCGCGTCAAAATTCCAGTACTTGTTATAATTGAGCATTGAACCAAACTTATTATAATTAGATCAGATGTGAAAAAGAAGTCCAATGTTCCCATATGGCCTGAACTAATGAACCAAACACGTGGGTGAGAAATGCTAATGGGAGGCAATGAACGATTATTAAGACAAGTGTCACTAACATGAAACATTAAATTAATTATATCTATTAAGCCAATGATTAAAGTGCAAAAACTAGGAAGCCCCAGTGCCCAATTGGTGCCTTCACAGATGTTAAAAGTGATGAGCCAGAGCCACCATGGTCATGGTGTTCTTGAAATCTGAGACTCTGGTCAGGTGCTTAATAACTCATTCCAAGAAATTGCCGACTTGCTTATGCTCGTAAAAAGCCAAGCCTATATGAGTGTGAGGCGTCCCCTTTCGTCACTGCCTAATAAAGTTCTTTTTTTCCTTCTCTTTTTTCCACTTAAAATGCTCCTAAAGTTTCTCCTCTGGTGATAAAGTATTCTTATTTTATATGTATCCCGTTCTTTTCTCTTCTTCTTGACCTTTACCTTCTGCAAAAACAATCTGACCGGTAAGTAAATCTGACCTATTTGTTCGTAATTCCCAGCTATACTCATTATTTATTCCATATGTCGCTGTATATGTAATGAGATTAAAAGGGGCAAAAAAAAAAAAAAAACAAAGGAAAGAGATACCAGCTTATACATCAACCATTTGACTGATTTATCTAATAATCTGCGTCAATTGTGGCACATGGGGTTATTTTAGTTTAATGATGATAAATTTTACCCTTGAGGAAGGATGATCCCTTTTTCTCTGTTTTTTTTTCCTCTTACATAAGTGCTTGTTTGGCATGACAAAATGGGAGGAAAAGTGCTTGGCAGACCTTCAAAATAACTTGAAAAAGCTTTTTTATGTTTTTACATTTTATATAGTTAGTATTTCATACACCATGAAATCACTCAAAATAAGTTATTTCAAAAATTAGATTATTTTTTTATAAAAAAATAAGATTGATTCAAAAAACAGTTATCTAATTTTTGAATCACCTAAAAAACGAACTACTTAAGGTTTAAGATTAAGCAGAAAAATACAAAATACAAAATATTACTTCAGCTACTTATTATTATACGTCATGTTCAAAAGAATTCTGTATTTTATTATATAAGAGTAACTCCAGGCTATATTCATTATTTATTCCATCTGTCGGTGCATGTAATGAGATTTAAAAGGAAAAATAAAATAAAATACTTGATTAGACATCAACCATTTGACCGATTCATCTGGGTCAATTGTAGCACATGGGGTTATTTTAATTCATTGGTGATGATGTAAATTGCGGATCATTTCACCCATCAAGGAGAACTGAAAATAAAAATTAAAAAAAAAAAGTTGACTGGATTAATGTGTGAAAAAAGGTTCCACATTAAATAAAATGAATTTATTTGAAAAAGAGGTATATAAATTTTGAAAAACATAAAAACAAATAAATAACTTCAGGTCTAAGATTAAGCAGCATCAAGACCTATAAATAGCTTAAGTACGTGAGATTAGTGAAATTAAAACAAGATTAAAATGTAGGGAACTCTTGAAAGAAAAACACAAAATACTACATGTTAAAATATGTTGAGAATAATTAACACTAATATTATTGGAAATTTAGAATTGGACCTAGCATTCTAGCACCAAACCGACTAAGGCACTAGTTTTAAGTCTCAGAGGTCGGATCGATTTTAATTATATAATAGAAACTAAAAAACATATATGAAAATAAAATTATTTTTGTAACATGTATCCATATTCTTGTCACACATGTTAAATTTATAGCAGATCACATCAGCATTATAATAAAAATATAAGTTGTTTATTACAAATTACTAAAATAATCCAATATGCTATGTTAATTGTCCAACCAAACTAACACAAGCTTTCATTATAAGTAAAAATCATCATGATATTATCAAATATATACAAAACATTAAAGAAAAATCAATCAAAAAAAAAAAGATACAAAATAATGCAGTTTTTGGTAGAGGTGGAGAGTACTAGCCGAGCGACCTATAAGGCCAATTCTGCAGGGCCAACGGGTTTAAAAAGACCAGCCCTACAAAGCCGAAATTTAAAAAATACCCTAATTTGTTAAACTCACCCTTAAGTTGGCGGGCTCAGGGCCAACCCAGGGGCTTTCAGCCTGTTTAAAAAGAATACTATTTTTTCTATTTTTCACTTTTTTATTAAAAATAAAAAAACAATGAAAATATTAATAAGAGGCATAAATATGAATAAAGTTAAGTCACAAATATAAAATGTCATCATATCTAAATATCCACTAACATCTAAAAAATCAAAACATCCATCAGCAAGATAACAATATCTAAAAGTTTCATCAATAGTGTAAATGTGTAATAGACAAACACTATCATTAATTTTTTAAAACTTCATTATCACTATAATCAATTACTTTTCTTTTGTAGCAAAAATATCAAGTTTTTCTTTTTTATAAGAATTTTACCTTTAAATTTTGCAGTCTAGCTATTATTTTACTTTAGTTTAAGAAGCATTATTGTTGAAACTTATAAATTTCTAATTCAAATTATAGAATCACAAGTTATATAAGTGTAAAAATACTCTCTTATCAAATATATATAGTTTAAAGATATTAACACATATAAATCAAATCATCATTTGATTAACAAATTAATTGAACAAATTATTGTCTAAACCAAATAAATTAAACCATTAGTTAGGAAAAAATACAAAAAATTTATTTGAAAACTATTATTAAGAATGTAAAAAAAAATAACTTTTCGACCAAAAAAATTAAGTGTTCTAAAAATAATTAAAACATATGACCAGTTCCCAGTCTTACTGCTTGAACTGGCCAGTCTAGTCCAATTTTAACTATACTGAATAACCTTAAGATATATTCAAAAAGATGCAATATATTTTAGAAACATCAAACAATTGCCTTTGAGAATATGAAGTGGTTAAAAATAACTTATAATAGGCATCATAATAAGTGTAAGAATAAATAGCATGGAAAGCGCATATAAAAGAAATGGAGAGGCGTACATTCATTAAACTTTCTATAAGATATATGTAGATTTTTCTGGAAGCATATGGACAATAAATATAGCATGCATATGGTTGCAAATAAATTAAAGGAGGTGTATGTATATTTATATTTATATTTATATTTATATTTAAGGGAATGGGACTCTATCATTTTCTCAATCAATGTGTCGTTCCATTATTGCAATACACACACACGCGCGTAACAAACAGCTAGCGATGTCTTGAACCAAAGCCAAAAAAAAGAAGAAACTATTGGCCCATTAAATTAATTTTATTGCGTTTTAAAACCACAAAAAGCTAAGAATTTAATACAAGACGAAGATATAAGTAGGGCGTTGAGCCAATCAAAATGGAATTAGCTATAAAATTGATAATTAAATTAAAGAATTTGATGTGATTTGTTTGAGACCCCTCCCCCCAAAAAAATAATGAATTGCTTCAAAAAATTGGTGCAACATCATGGGTTTGAGAAGGACTTTAGTGATAATGAAGAAGCATGCAGGGTCAGACCATATTGAGGCGTCTTTATTAGTTATAATAATAATAATTATTATTATTATTATTATTTCATTCCATTCACACATTTTTTAAGGACATTGAATATTCACATCATACCTCCATGTCTTAATTAGTCTCTTCTCATAATCATTTGCTTATTGCTGCCAACTTCAACCACTTGTGTGAGTTTGTGATGAGAAACATAATGGATCAAGAATTCTTAAAAATATCTTAATGATATAGATGAGGATAAAAAAAAAAAAAAAGGTCTGCCTTGAATCAAAATTATAATATTTATTATTTTATATTTGATACGTGTTATTTCCTGAATGTGTGTGTGTAACTCTTGTACGCGTACATGTCAATGCTGCTTTGTTCAAATGTAGCTTTCATATTGGCGAATATACTATTTTCAGCTTGCTGCTCACTGAGAAGAATGAACAGAAGAAAGATATTATGATGGAGAGAAGAATGTGACACACGCACACACACATATATATATTACATACTCCCAAAGAAGGGATTGATTGGCAAATTAAAAATAAAAAAGAAAAGAAAGTGTTTTTCTTTTTAATATACAAATATCAGTGTATGCATATAGATTTGATCCTTTTTAAAAAATGGATAGTGAGGTGTGCAAGTGGTGTATTGTTAAAGAATGAATCAGGAGCCTAAATCATAAAAAGTTTATTAAAATTAACTTGAATATACATTCAAAGATATATTAGAATAATTTTAATTTTCAGATGGATTGGCATTAGTCGATGATCTAACTACAATAATTAATGTCGAGCAATTCATCTTGCACTTTACTAGAATGGATTGGGTGTGACAAAATAAAGTACCATGGGTTAATTAAGCTCTTCAGTTTTAAGTATTTTAGAACAGATTTCATTGCTCCAAGTAAGTTGACGCATTCTTTTCATTGTCTCCTGCCAATTATTAATGCTTTTTTGGTTAACAATCTGGCGATATTCTCTAATTGATAATTAGAGACTAATTTCTTAAGTATAGAGATTCCTGAAGTAAGTTTCTTCGT